ATCAATCTAAAACTAGTAATTAATGACAGCCGAATGTTTAATTTCTTATTGGTTAGAGAGTAATGTTGAATAGGGAAGATGACCTTTGTTATAAGCTTGAATTAATCATTCCATAAACATATAAGAAATAATGTGAAGACAGTTGTTTGACTTTACAATGTAATACTTTGGACAACATATGCATACACCTTAATGAAATCGAACATTTAGGATGTAGCTTTACTAATGGTTTAGATGATCGATTTCAATCAACCTTTAATACACGATACTATTTACAAACAAAAAAAACACAAATTATGTAACGCACAAAAATATGTCCGTCTCAGGGTACGACCACTGATGTGTGTATATGCTGTACCTAGATGCTGTTGTTTTAACACAGTGCTGAGGAGTAGTTTTTTCCCACTAATACATTCTATTCAATGTTTAGTGAATAACGAAAGATAAAATAGTAAACAAAAAAATGAATATAGGTCACGAAGTGAATATTGTCTATTTTAGATCATCACCAAAATAATAAAACGGATATGTACACGTGATATATATATATATACGCATATTAAACATAATCGAATTGTTTACTACATAAAGACCTCCAACAACTACAACCACAACAACAACAACAAAATGGTAAAAATGCATATATGATTATTTGCCAGCATTACTAATAAGAGGAATGAAGACATTATTGACCGTTTAAAAGATGAATTGCAAAATTAGTTCAATTTAAGTCTAATGATGTTAAGTGTAGAATGTATTAATGAAGAATGGAATAAAAATACAAATGAAGTAGTATACAGACAACACAGAGCAAGTATGTAGGAATTTATCCGTGTCTAATAATATTTGTATATATATATATGTATATATATATAAGACAATTATCATGGTAGAACAAATTCTAAACCAGGAATATTAGGAATGTCAGACTAATCAATAATACCATAGATATATATATAGAATTTAGAGCAAATACATAGACACATAGATATATATTGAGGAAAGATAAAACAATTAAGCAATTTAGAAAAGAGAAAAAATTACAAATACAATTATTTTACGCTTGAATTACGTATAATGATGGTACATTAGAAAAAGACAAAAACAGACTGACGCAGTAGTTTAAAGGCATGGAGGAAGAATAAGAATGGCAATGTATTCCCTTAAGATGTAGACTTTAGATTTTTTTAAGTAAACAAAAACTCCCTTCATTATTATTATTATTATTACTATTGAACAAAGACTAATTTACTCTACACAAAATTGATATTAATGACCGCCATTATAGGTATTTTATTTAAATTGATATTAAGATTTTCTTAATTATGAAAACTGCCTATAGCATAATTTCTAGAGGTTATATCATGAAATCAATAAAAAGAGTTGGAAATCTTAGAAATGCATCATGTATATACCTACAGCTTGATAATTACACCGACACATATGCCACAGTCAGTCAGTTATAACGTAGGACCAGGCATATATATATATATATATATATATATATATATATATATATATATGCACTGGTCCAAGTTGATACACCTCATTAGCACGACATGATGAACACCGGATTCATAGTAGTTAACTCAATGGTGATAATATATAAAAGAAAGATTGCATATAAGAATATAATACAGGAAGAAAGAATTAGTTCGTAGAAAGAAAGATATGAAATGATTTTAATCTCATAGTATAAGGGAAGAAAGAGAGTGTACACACCGACGCCATTGTGATCGATTATGAACCATGTCACTCACAATCTCCAACCATTGGTTACGATAGTCACACGGACCCCAACCAAGTATTCTGCATCTCCCAACATGGCTTACACCAGAAGTTAGTGACTTTGTGGACTGATGCCACATTTTGGTTTGACTGCCCCTAACTTTCTTTCAACCATCCCCAACACTAGTCAGCATTGCGCATCGTGGTAATCGGTGTTCAGGCATACGTAACACGTGACCCAACCATCTCAGTCGATGAAGATTAACAAACTCATCAACTGATTTGCCATCATTCCCTAATACCCTGCGTCTAACCTCACTATTACTTACCCGGTGACCCCAGCAGATGCGAGCAACATTTCTAAGACATCTGTGGTCAAATACTAGTAGCTTACGAGTATCTTCTACTCTTAATGGCCATGTTTCGCAGTCGTAAAGTAAAACAGAACGAAATGCCGCACAGTATACTCGTCCCTTAGTTGCCACAGGTCACTGACTTGTTTTTATATTTTCACTTAAAAAGCCTAACCTTACTTATTGAGTTAGGGTAATGTAAGATCACATAATATAACGAATCTCCTTTCCTGCCAAAATATATATACAAACATACACTGTGCTGATAAATTCATGCGAAATCTATAGCTACTCATAAACCATGTGCGACGTGAGACATATGTACAAACAGAAAAAAATAAAAAGACAGGAAGCAAAAGAATCTAAATCCCAGCAGTGATGGTAGTAGAAAATCAAACGATTAGTACTTCTCCTGATACCATTATTACTCTTACTACTTCGGCATTTATTGTGATAACTTCATATAGTTGTGTTGAAGGGGGTGTGAAACTTGAGCCGATGCACATATATGTCAGATTTCATGTCGTTTAAGACTAATAGTTGTTGAGAGACCTGACCAATAAGTATGTACCTACTAACCTGGCTTAGGTCAAAAGTTAATGAGTTGAAGGTTTGAAACCATACTTAGTTTGACCGCTCTCACCCTTTCTTGAAGCAACGCTTTCGATAACGACCACCATAGGTCGGAGTAGGCGATGGTTGAATATTTATAACACATACTTCAGTCGATAAAGATTCACAGACTAATTAACTAATTTACAATTTTCACCAAGTTTCTTAATTTCACTAAGTTATATTTCCTTGAATCATATATTCGATGCCTGGCCTTTCTCTAAATCACTCATAGTATTACTATTCTGGAACTTGACCTGACAATTTCATCCCTCTGTGCTAACAGGGCATAGCAACTCGAGGCGATGTTCATATATTATTCTAGATTAACTTGGAATAAAATTTTAATTCATACACGATTCTTCCTTCAAGAGCATTCTTGATCTGAAATCAGAGATAAAGCGCTGTTGTGATTGCTGTGGCAAAATAAACGTGTTCATACTAGAGCACTATTAGAGTTTAAGTGCATGTTTCAAAGGTAGTGACGGTATATCTATTGATTCTTCTATGTAACTAATGGTAGTATGGACTGCCCCAAAAAGCCCTGGTACTGGCGAGGTTGGAGCGAGTTAGATCTACATCTCGAAATGCTCTTACATGGCCATGTGCATAAAACCACTGCCAGGGAAGTCCTACTCACTGCCTTCTCGCGGCATCACTGTTGTTTACGGAATTCAGAGGACGATAAGTGAATGTCTGACGCTTTAACCGGGTTGGCCGATATGGAGGATCCACCTAGGGCAGTTGGAAAATCCTCATCCCAAACCAATGGTGCACATGGGCTCCAGTATCCTGAAGGAACAAACGACATATGAGCCAATTATTGATCACCGGCTACCATGAGATTGCATCTCCTTACGTTGCTCCACTACCTTGTGGACTATACCTTTAGATCGAAGACTCGGGGTTTGGCCACCTGAGAAAACCATATGCTTCGGTTTAGGCACCCCGAGCAGTATCACAGCCAAAACACAAATCAAGTGGCTTGTGTGGCGCATGTGTTCGGTGCCCCTTTGTACCAATATTTGTGTTTAAATAAATGAATAGTACGGACTACTTATATCTATTACTGATCCGATGTCAGTAATTAGCAGGTGAAACATCATTTAATAGTATGGTTACTACTTTCTAGGAATGATTGGCTGCCAAAATATAGTTACAGGAAAGTTATATTTGCTGGGCTGTTGTGTCAAAAGCCTTACATCAGTCTCTTCATGTTTTTGTATACTCACTTGAATGACGAAGTCCCCTGCCAAAACGACAGTATATGAGCGTCTGGCCCCTTGAGGATGGTAGAGAATACTTATGATAACCAATCTATAATGTCATTTGGATCGAAATTAGCAGGAGTATAAACAAAGAATATTACTAGTTTAAAATGAACATGGCGACTTTTCCTAGTTCTTAAGACAAACAGCTGAACAGCACAAACGTAACTAATAGTGAGAATAGGTTTAGAAATGAAATTTTTACTTCAAAACTCAGTACTACATCAACACCTGGAAAATCACAAAAGATTGCTGTAGTATCTTTAGGCACCTGGAAGTACTTAGAAGTATAGAGATGAGATCCTTGTACTTAGTTATGTCGCCCTGAAGTGACACTCTTACATTTTTACCACAAACATAAAAAGTTTAGTGCCAGTTACAGGTATCTCTTTAAACGATGAGTGGATTTGGAACATACGTTGGACAAACGCTCTTGAAGTACGATACGTACAGTTGTAGGAATGTATCTAATTTAATAAAATAAAGACCCACTGAGTGTCGACTTTGGAGATGACAATGATCTTGCAAATAATGTCTCATTTTTTCCTTTACATTAACTTGACTTTAAGACCGTGGGGTTGACTAACAGACTTCAAAGTGACCATACACAGCTCTTTAGGACTTGAAATTATTTGTGGGTGAAGGTATTATTGACCCCTAGGTTATCTTCTGAAAATGTATGAAGGAGATAAACGTACACCGATAGAATTCGTATCGATTAGTTAAAAACTAGCTACACTGACGATATAAGGAATGAGTGTCGTATAGATTCAAAAAAAATTTAAATACTACAGTCACTGAAACGAAGTCAAGAACCTTTGATAAGAAAGGTATAGTCTACTTTGTGCCCTAACGATACTTATTTCACAATTCTGAATAAACTTTAGAATCTCATTTAAGAAACAATTCACTAGTTTCAATACATATAAAATTAAATTAGTCTTAATACATAAACTGTTGGTTCTGTGTTATGACATGAGTCTCAAATAATTAGTGGCAAGCAACGTTAAATTCAAATGCCTTGAACGAATGTTATTACCTGAAATAGGTGAACGATAATCCACAAGATGGGGCTGTCTTATTCGGAACAAGGCGAGAGCAACAACATGAGGACACCATGACAACCCTTTATTACCACAGTCGCAGCAAACCGATATTATTTTGCATCTACATTTAATTCGTAAAGATAAATTCAAATCACCTGTCAAAAGTTATAGAAACTTTAAATTTGTTTCCTTCCGTTTCGGAAATGCATGTTGTAGGCTGTTGCCGCACAGATCCAGTCAAGTGAAATCCTGTAGATTATAAGATTTCGTAAGCAACATACCGATCTGAATAACATTTTCCACATAGTTATTCAGGAAGTATTCGAGTCCTTGATAATATGGAATCTTGTCACGGGTTTTATCAGTCTTCGAGTGAAAGGATGCATATGTATAAATATCACTATCCCTTTGAGGAAAAGAGTAGTAAATGATTTTCTCCTGTACAGGTTCTGGTATGTGAACCAACATGCGTTCCACATATTCAAACGGTAGATATTCAGCTACAACTCTAGCACTGAGGTCAAGTAGTGAGTTGATTAAGTTTCCTTTATGATGGATCCGTGAGCATCCTCCTTCCAACCTGCGAAGCTTAAAGGATGATGGAGAATCACAGGTTGATAATTTATGCTTCATATCAACGAGGCATGTGAAGCAACAAAAGATGGTAAGACAACCGCCTAGACCCTAACTTGACGGTTGTTCAAAGCCCGCACATCCCAAACATTAGCTCAGCTGATTGGGGAAAGTCGCACAGTCAAACAAACAAACCACGTTTACTTGTGAACGACTCAAGGTAAGTCTATCATTCAATGTTTTCAGCGCGTATATGGTATTTTACAGTCTTATGTTATGTCATTTGTAATTTTGTACTGGAGATTGCTTGTGTGACGCAAACATCAAGCGTGTATCGAGCCAGTATTCAAAAAGCTAGCTTCTGTCATACTACGGTAATTTATTGTTGCTTATGTACTTAACTTGTAATCATAATGAGCTTAGTGCTTGAATCCCTATTAACTTTTATGTTTGTATAACGTCGGTCGTTGACAGGTTTGTACAACCAGATTGCTAAACTCCGTGGATAGCATACCTATAGGGAGCGACCTGTGCATGGTAGACAGATTTAATTTGATTTGGATTGATAGCCTGTAATAATAATAACGGTTGGTTACCTCCTAATTGATCCGAGTGTGTCGGAATACGGAGCTATGACTATGCGTTGGGGAAGAGATTACCTCTGGTTAACAATGCGATGACATAGTCGGTAGTCGCCTGATAAGCAATTTCTTCAGAGGTAGTAAATGATCATCGAGTGAGCCCGTGAATTTTTGTCCTAGCAAACAATGGGCAGGTGAAGTACGTTTAGTAGATTGTTTCCCATCATACGCCAACATGATTTATTATAGCTTCAACATAAACATTTGTAACTTCGACAGAGTGTAACCGCTGACTAATTTTCGCCTTTCGTAGTAACTTCGTTCGCTCCATAAGAATTTACAACCTTCACTAAATATCCCTCTTCTTTTCGTGTCCTTGTAGTTTCACACACACGTCTTATGTTAGTTTGCTTATATCTGTAGATTTATTATTTTATCCAATGCCTGCCTTCTTGGTCACACAGTACGTTGTCATTTTCGGGTTATGTTAACGCATGTAACAGACAGGAAAGCTTTTAGTATCTCTGCTCCCCTTACAGTGTACTTCATAAATGGAAGTTTGAAACATGCTTTTCCGAAACTACTCGTATCCAATCGCCATCTCTACGTTGTATTGACTCAATCGACAGAATGTATACAAAGTTAGGTAAGATTTATACTTCATATATTCCATTATCGTTCGGTAACAGTATGATGATACGGGAGCAAAATAGTTTTCGTTCGGTCAGTCTTTCGTCATAAGTTAGCTGACATATTACATAAACCAGCTTAATTGATGTTCTTGTAATCTTTCCTGAGAACTCATCTTCGATTAGACAGGAACTCGCTGTTGTACGCAGTACCTGAGTTTTTGCCGGACTAGAACGATGTATAAAGCCAGAAAATCTTTTCACATGAAAGTGGACGAAAGCCCAAAGTAACGACCAAAGGGTTCTATTGTACGGCAGCACGCAAAAGTTTTTTAGTCCAGGCTAGTAAATACATCTAGATCATTGTGTCCGAACAACGAACAGTTCATTACTAGTCATTGTGTCTGCATCTCTACCTCAATAACCAATATGTACTTTTGGTTGTCAGAATTATGTAAAATAGTACCGGACTCCTCAGCAGCGCTCGTCCACGATACCGCATGTGGGACTCGAACTCAGGACCCTCGGTCTCGCGCTGAAGCGGCCCATACCATGATGAAATGGCCGTCCATTGCTTCCAGGTTTTCAATGGTGATCTAGCTTATATCGACTCATGAATCCGACTATTAAAATTACTAAATTTTCCACAAACTGCCATTTTGATAATAGCTAGGAATTCCTGAAATACTGCAGAACCAGTTGAGCACAGGCGAACGCATTGTCTTTGGGATTCTTAATCAGTGAGCAATTAAGTACAAAGGAATTCTTGTTTTGTACAAATTCCACATCCACCACAGCTTACTTGAGAATCAAAATTTCTGCAATCAACTGTATTTCTTACCCTTAGGTTCATCGTGTCTGTTTGGCTATGTATTGTATTACACTCTGGGTTATCTAGAGTATACTCATTAGTATTGGGATTAACAACTGATACTGAAACAGATTCGTAGAATTATTAATTGCTTTGGTACTAGTGCTACTATAATAATAGAAATAATCTTAAAATTTTAGACCTATCATGGTGTGACTACCTAATCTGTAAGATCTTACGTGGAAGTTCCATTGTTCTATATACTGACTCATTCTACATGACCACCAACAATACGTCGTTTAGCGTTTTTGATGAACACATTTGAACTGGGAAGAGAGTAATATATTTGATACGAAAGGCAAGAGGCAATGTGACCACGCCTGCATGACCGACCCAACCCATTTCGATTGAATCTTTCCGCATTCACAATCACGGACCTTTTCCAAATGCTACATGTTAAATATCAATGTTCTCAGTAATTATATGTCCAGCTTCCAGAATTGTGTGGTTATGAATTAGTGCCACTACAGACTGACCTGGTTCCTTGTAACGCATTCGGTCGCTGTGACGAGCTCTTATATGAACCACAGATTTATTGGCCTGTTTTAGCAGACCTTCCATAGATTATGGAAAAGAAGTCCTTCCATAAAGTTATTTCATTTAATCAATTTTATTATTGTTTCTTTCGAGTACAGTCTAGTAATTCTTCATTGAAAACCTTTCTACGCTTTCTTCTCCGGGTCTTCGAACTTTTTAGCAGTAATAGAAATGACGTTTGTTTTTAAAGTTTTGAAATCTGCTGCTTGCATATGAGAATGAAGGGACTTTGAAGTTGTGAGTCATTTTCTGCCCTTGGACTCCGTAGTCAGCAATTTATTAAACGCCTCATTAGAATCATTTCCAGTAGTCAATAAAGAAAGCTGACCCTGAAACATTCTTAACTCTTCTACATATAGTATAGACGGTCCAGGCTCAATGATGAGAAATCCATAACTTATAGTTGAAGATCTATTATCTCTGATCAACAGACTACAACATCCAAGAATAGAAGGGTTATGAACAGTTATACTCAAAATGGAAACTTTGGTAAGCATAATAGTAGCGTCGGAACTTAATGACTTCATCTTACCAACCAAAATAATGGACTTATTACTGCTAATTTCAACTGTAAAATCGTGAAAAGCACCACTGGACAGATATGATCGTTTCTGAATATAAAGTGAATTATTGTTGGTTGTAAATATGGATGATATATGATCATTAGAGCTAACCTAATTATTAGGATCCGAATGACAAAATTCAGTATTGCCTGTGGTAAAAATTTACAGCAGTTTTACAAGGCGCCTATATGTGTCCAAATGTACCAGATTCAGAGTATTTAGCATTAAGAAATACACATGAACTACATGAAAGAAATTGGTCATAGGACAAAATTTTACTGAACTTTTGCTTAATTCTATAATCTGCTTTGAGATTCCTCAATAGATTTGTATCCGCATTGGATTGGAATGATTAATTTGTATAGACATTTCTAGGGTTCTGACTATATCGTTCTTTTTTGTATCACTCTTCATACCTTTATTGTTGTGACTTTAAGTCCAGCTAGTTGTCACGTGATTTATTCGCCAATCGAAATGTGACTTATTCACTCCCGTACTGTATTAAGCCAATGACGTTCGACCGGTCTGATCAGCCTAGCGTACTTATTGGCCCTTTGTTTCCTAGCCCGTCCACTTGGGTCCAGAACATCAATAACAACTTCCGCTATGTGAATCATTTATTTCAGACATACCTGGTTTATATACCAGCCAAACAAACCGCATCGAATCATAAAATTCGAAATAACATTTACACAATATAAAGCCAAATGTGACCGTGAATGTGGGAGACTGTAATCAGTAAACTGAACATAAGAACAGTAAATTGTAAAATAATAATTTATGGGTCAAAATGAAGCTTATAATAAGATGAATATAAATATACACAATGTAGTTACTGAATAGTTATACAATAATAATATGTAGATAACATTAGTTCACTAATAGTTCCCAGAAGTTACTCGTAATTTGATCATCGCTAGCATATAACACCTCCCCTTTTATGAAGATCCAAAGTTTAGATCCTGATTTTAAAAAAATTGTCTTTAAATTCTTCAACACTATCCCCCCCACGAAATAATGTTAGATCCTCATATCTCAAACTTACAATAAATATGATTTCATTTAAAACATTTCTCATATTGAATAAAGATCCACTAGAAATGATTAGATGGTGATGATGAACGACATTTGATTTGAAGTTATTACGGTTTGACTCTTTTCAAACACTTTCCTCCGATTCATTAAGAATTTCATTGGTGGATAAAGTTTCACTAGGAAAATCAGCATCTAACAAAATGGGATTAGATTTTGAGCCATAATTTGATTCAGCTGATATATCTAACCCATTTTTATGAGAAATTTGATCGAAATTCTGTGAATCATTATGAGAACCCATATCTGGTAAATTGACATGAGAAATCGGACAAGAAGTTGGCTCATTATAAGCTTCTGTCTCTCATTAATTTTGGGTTTTATTTTGTACAATTGCGTTCGTCGTACTGCTCCAGTTGTTTTCTGGGTATGAGTCCCGACCAATATCACGTGAACTATAGTTTCCTCCTGGTTGGAGTTTATTTTCAGAGTTAGACAAAGCCACTAGTGCTTCGTTTAATTCTTGATCCAGAGCTTCATCTACATGATCTTTTGTTTCTTGATCATCTGGTATTGTAACAACTTCTTGTGCATTTAGCAAGGTACTGTCTTGTTGTGAGCCGGGTAACTTACCAATATTACATCTTGCTTCAGGTATAAAGAGATTTAAACCCTCTACAGGACATCCTTCTGAAATGTCCATTACTGCACCATTGTCTGCATCATAAATAGATTCCTTATATTTTGGTTGAGTGAAAAGTTTGCCCAAAACTGCTTTAAATAGTTGCTGTTGAAAGGCTAACATCTACTGGTGATGTTGCTGTTGGTTTTGTAATTATAACTGCGA